TTAGTTATTTTATAATAAAAAAATTTTATTGAATATTTTTTAAACGAAATAAGCAAAAATAAAAAGTATTCGCATTTTTTTATTTTAATTACACATGCAACCCTTATCTTAGCTTACTAATGTCTCATGAGACTTAAAAAGTCAACCCTTATTGCTTTTAATTAAAAGAATTATCATTAAACTAATTAAGTGATTAGCGTCGCAAATCTATGATCCAAAAAAAATTAAAGAACGTCTCGACAAGAGGGTTTGCGAAATCCCCTAGGAATCCGGCCGAATTGTAGTTCCCGACAACGTAAAAAAAAAAAAAACAGAAAAATGCAGAAAAAAAAAAAAATGCCAGAGATTCCAGTTTTAAGCCAAAATGGAGGAAACCTAAGGTTGAGTTGGTCCTCCACAGGCCTTATTAGTATTTTCACTAGCAAATCACAGATTCACAACCAAAGACAACCACAATGCGTATTACTCAAAAATCAACCAACTCCAAGTGCATTCAACGTAAACAAACCCTAGATCTAGGATAAAATTAACATTTCATTCAATAATTGTACACTGAAATTACAAGGCAATTTGAGAGCCGATCCCCGTACTTAGGATGACGGAGTTCCTGCGCAAGAATCTCCTACCCGTAGCCCTGCTCTCTTCTTCCCTTTCTTCTCTCTTCTTGTTTTTCAGTCATCCAAGAACAGGGGAGAGAAAACCCAGAAATTAGGAGAAGAAAACCAAACTCAAAAAAATTTCAATTGTTATTTTTATAAATGGTAAAACTTTTATCTAAAATTTATATATAGAAAATTAAAAATTAAATTAAAATTATTAAAAATAAAAAGAGTAAGTACTAAACATCAAGTTCATAGTAATTTACAAATAAATATATTTACTAAATATCTATTCTATTTCAGTTGAGAAAAAACTTCCCCTCCACTCTTAACCATGCCAAACAAGTTTTTAATAAATTCAAACACATACAATGAGTAAAATCATTGTGAATAACACATAAAAACAAAATCATTTTCAAGGAAATAAATTAACTTTTGTTGTTGAAGAAAGACCAACAATGAACATAAAAAGGGCCAGACGAACGAATGTGGAAATTTACCTTCTGTTGAAACACATTTGGTTAAGGTTTTTGGCAAAGGCAATCTGAGTGCATAGGTGAAGATTTTTGCTCTGTAATGGGATGGTAGGCGTACCTATGTCTGAGAACAATGATACATTTATATTGAAATAAACTAACCCTGGGGTTGAGACTTGAGCTTAGACCTAACCCAAGAGTTTTGGTGCTTTTCCAAGTTTAGAACACATGCATTGACTGACTTAGAAACCCTTTTAGTAATTTTTCTTGAATATATGTTTTAAGAGAACATGTTAAATATACAATAAATATATTTTTTATAAATAATTTATATCAAAAATTATAAAAATTAATATTTATTTTAATGTTATTGATACGTGAATAATTTTAATTAATTAATTAATTTAAAATTAATATTTACTTTTTTATACAAATTAATTATAAAAAAAATTAATTACACCTCTTAAATCACAATTTAGAAAGTTTCTTTTACTAATCATCAAGCCATTCAACAGATTTAAAATTAATATTTTAAACAGCTACAATTTTAAGGTATGAAATGAAAAATTTTAGCATGACAGCTCAAGCCTTGGCCAGTGATAAAGTGTTGGGTGCAACTACCAACTTGCCTATGAGGCTGGCAAATTTAAAGTTAATTAAACAGTCTGAAATGCATCTTTTAAAAGTTTTATTTAGGAGTGGGCACGGTCGGTTCGGTGGTTGAATTGACCAACAATAGCGGTTAATCGACTTTATGATGGAGAAAAAGTATCATTCACCAAACCATATTAATTTTGGTTGTATTGGTTCAGTAACCGATCTATTTTGGTTTTTTGGTTTTGGTTTTGGATTTGACCCACATACATAGAAGAACAGAGGAGAATGATTGGAGAAGAAGATCGTGATGGCAGTGTTGCACCACCCCATCGAGAATGAGTTCACAAGGTGTTGTCTCCAAAATCTCCCTTTCTGGCCGCGTGGCAAATAAGACTGCGAAGGCGTGCCACTCACTTTGCTCAAAGTGAGAAAGAGGGATTCCCGGTGACCCTCACTACTTCCAAGCGT